AGATTAACCTTCAGGCTGGATATAGCTCGCTAGCAGCCTCGCACCGAGGACCTATCCACGTCATCATTTACCCAGAATGCTTTGAGTGGAAATAAAATGGCTCTGTCCATGTTAAAATATATTTTTAAAAATGATAAAAACTAAACATCCTACAGTATTTTTACAGTCTTTATTTTACAGTTAAAATACATGTTTCTTAAATAAAGTCTAATGTTACAACTAATCGTGGATCCCTTTAAAGCCGTACGTCACCTGGTTCTGTGGAAACCCAGAGTTATGAGGAACGAACAGCGTGACTTCAGACTTCCTGTAAGACAAAACTTCAACGAGCCGTCGACCCTCCTCCGAGCCGCTGTGGTCCAACAGCAACTGAAGATAAAAAGTTCAAATGGATTAAAAACAAAAGACTAAATCTGTTCAAACCGTTGTTTGTTTTGGATCAAACAGCTGCAGGCGGTCCTGTGTTTAGACCAGGAGTGTGAGGCGACCCGGGAGCAGAGCTGATTTATTCCAGGCGCCTCTTATCAGACGGCTGCAGAGGAGGACAGACTAGAAGTCATCATTTAAACCTGACGAACTCTTTGATCTTTTTCAACTAAACTGATGAGGATCTGAATCAGATGTAGGACAACAGGAGGGCGTGTTATTTAAGATTTGTTTTAATGATATTAAATCTAACAAGAAAACTAGGATAAAAACTCAAGGATTTAAATTTATTTTTTATTGAGTCTGTGCTGGTTTCTGCTCAGTGTGGGGTGAAACTGTTGTGTCCAACAAACCTGAACTCTGAGGAGAAAACGACACAACTTTATTTATTTCACTTTTATTTTCTAACTGAAGGTGATTAACTGTTAACAAAATATCTCATTAACCATTGGACAGATTTGAATGAAATTCTCAAAATAATCATTAGATGTACCTCTAACCCGATTCAAGATGGCCGCCACTTAAATATACAAATCACTATGGCTCGACAAACACGAGATGAAACCTGTTAAGTGTGCATTTCTTCAAAGAAAGATGCTTTTAAATATCAGATCTGAATACCTCTACAAAATGTTTAAACTATTGATCTTTATATTATTATTATTATTATTATTATTATTATTATTATTATCATCATCATCATCATCATCATCATTATTAAGAATAATTGTTCTTAAAACGCTGCTCACTTTGTAAAAGATGGAGAAGTTGCTGTTTGTTGCAAGAACATTGGTCAGGACGCCGTTACAGAAGTCCCCGTTTCCAACGTAACCATCAGAGCACACGCAGGAGACATCTGCACACAAACACACATAAACACATAAACACACACACACACACACACACACACACACACACA